CACATGAAAACTTAAGCTTGTAATTGAACAATTGGTAAAATTAATCAATTTTTAATAAAATTAATTGAAAAATATAGAATCAATGCACCTCAACTTTTGTCCTTAAGAAAAAAAAAATTACAAGCTTGACCAAAATTTTAAAAAAAAGTCACTACCTATATATACAAGAACAGAGCTTGACCAAAATTTTAGGGGGCTGGCAAAATTTTTTTATATTACAGACAAATATACTATGGATTTTAGCATAAAAGTAACTGCAATACCCCAAAATTTTTTGAGCTTTAATTTAATTATTAAAAGACACAATTGGAAAAATTATTAACTGAGGGGTTTTAATGACAAACATTAGAGTTAGGTTAAATCAGTCAATAAAAAAATAGGGGTTAAATTGCTAGAATTTCAAATCTCAAGTGACTTTCTTGCGAAACATGTTAAAATAGGTTAAAAAATCATATTTATACCATGACCCTAGTTCACCTATTTGCAGAATGCCGCTCACCCAAAAGTTCAGAACGAAAGTACACCTTGTACTCTAGAGCAATGCAAAATTTTATTATTGGTAAATAAAATTAAAATAAGGGTAGCACCCAAAAGTTCATAACAAATGTTCTATTCATAAAGTTGCAGTTGGGTAACTTATAATTCCATTGGAAACAATTTGGTTCATTGAGAATTAAACAAATTTTGTTAGCGTGTGCATCCCACGAACAAGTGTTGCATTTGTTGTAGTCTCTCTTTGTTTGGAAAAGATCGAACCATTTGACACCACAGCCTTTGGCCATTCAAAACAACAGTAAAATTATGTGGTGCCACCAATATTATTTCTAAACTTGAACGAGCAGGAAGTTCTTAAGGGAAGTTTTTTAATTCTAAAATCATTATTGTGTGTTTTGTAATGAAGTGAGAGCTTCTGACCTGGTTCAATGCGATTGGTGAAGCAAACAATGAACTTTTAATAAATGTTGATGGCGGCCTCAAACATGGCTGAAATGAACCCAAAGATGACTAGAAGCAAGACAAGTTTAGGGGCAAATGCCATCTTTGCAATTTTGTTTTGGTGGATAAGAGCTTTCTCCTATGGTTTCTTTTATATAGGGTATACAAAATTTGTCTTTAAGATGTCATTGCCATGTATATCATCTTTACATATATAGATTTGTATGGCCTATGTCTTAATATATTTAATCCCTATAAAATATTGTACAAGTTGACATTTTTTACGTTTAATTACCTTTTTTTACATTTAATATCTTCAAAAAAAATCATAAAAGTTGACTTTATTATTATTATTATTAGTGACACTTGAAAACTTTTAAGTGAAA